ATCTACCACCAAAACTGAAACCTATAACAGCAGTAATGCAAATCATGCATGTGTAGAGAATATTGATTAAAGCACTTCAGAACTAGAACAGAACAAGAAAATCAATAGATAAAGAACAGAGCCTGGGAATCATGTGTGTATTTACCGAGGATGTGGATCCGTCCTTTCCGACCTCACTCTTGAACTTCCACCCAGCAGGAATTGGAGTGTCGGAAGGCTTATCTCCCATGGTTGAGAATGATTATCTCCTTCAACAATGGTCTAAAAAATCTCTCCCTTCTACCTCCACCCTGCTTGAGGGTTCTTTTAACCCTAAACCTTCGATGCAAACGAGGCATTAAAGGGATAATTCTAGAAAAGGAAAAGATGCCTCCGAGTCCACGTGTTCCCATCCACCAGTGTGTTCTGTTCAGGAGCCAAAACGTAACTGCAAACAAAGAGAATTAATTCTTCCCTACGAATATAAAAGAACAACTGGAAATGACAAACCGGACAGTGCACATTCATGTATCAAGAAAACAAGAAAACAGCGCACCATTAACACGAAAATAGAAACACTCAATGGCAGGATGAATGCCAGATAAGAGCAAAGTATTAACAAAAACAAATTGCCTTAGCATTTCAGAGTGAATCTTCAATTTTAATTTTTAACTTTTGGGATAAGATTAGAGATCAAGATCATCTTGATTAGATCCTCAATGTTCCCTTTTATAATCAAGAACAAGGAAATTAGTTCCAGGGAATCTGAATTCTTAATCTCTATTTTCCTACTCTCCCTCAAGGTAAACCAATAATTATAACTTTGAAACTGTCACGTGTTTTGCCTTTTTGACATTTGATTTTAAAATTTCAAGAACTATGTGCTGCAACACCAAACAAGCATATAATGAAAACAAGTTAAATTGGTTGTCAACCATGCAAAGAATAAAAAAGAAACACTTTAAACCCAAAATTATAAGATTTTTTTTGGTAAAAAAGAATTTTGGGATAAGATATGAGTAGCTTAATGATACACAACAACAATAGCATCCATCAATGTCAGAACACATTTGAGTTCTTACACACACTAGTTTAATAGCATTCCTTACACACATCTGAATTCAGACCTTCCCATCTCTCTGCTTTCAAGCTAGCTAGTAACCTATTGAATGAGATACAAAATCCTTTAACATTTACGAAGTTCTGAATAGTAATTACTGTCACTCTTAACAGCCCAATATTATATAAAACCAATCCAAAAAGATAAAATCACTTTCATAATTGCTGTATTGATTTGAATTTCCACAACATACAAACACAAAATAAAATTCCTTGTCCCAAGAAATAACAATGAGTTGAACAAGGCATCATAAAGAAGATAAGAATTAAGAACTAAAGACTGGATGTTAAAAAGCCTAAGATCAATTCATTTTTCCCCCAATTGGAGTAATATAACTCTACCATAAGTGGCAACAAATAGGCCCAACTCGACAAAAAATAAACAATCATACAATCAAACAGAATGAAAACCCAATGCAATATCTTACAATAACCACCAAACTTGAAACTAATATTCTTCCAAAAAAATTTACATTTTGGAGCCACAAGCAGAGAATGTTTAAAAATTTAAACTATTTCCTTTATTGGACTAAAAACTCTATTTTTTTTTCCTTTCTCAAACAATTAGGAACCGTCGTTCACCATTTCTCAGCAACCAAACAGAAACAAGCAACAACAATAAAAGTAAATAGGTTCATATTCTGACTCTGCCTGATATTAAAGCAAAGCGTTCATTTCTACCTTCGAATTTCTTCTTCTGCTTCTTCATCATCATCATGTACTGCGAGCTCAGAGAGATAGCTCCGTAGCTTTGCTGTGATGCCAGTTCCGCGACGTCGTTTTATGAAACCGAGTAAAAGATTTTCCAGCCGAAGACAATTTTCCAGGAAAATCAAGAGAAGGGCTATTTCCTGTTTGGCTCGGTGGAAAATTCAAGCCAGGAAACTACGGTGTCTGCTGCGTTGGCATTTAAATAGAACGATCGTCGTAGAAAACAAAATGTCGTATACGCTCGTATTTGGGGCACAACTCCCGCAACAGTGGCAAATTTGTTTTTAAAAAAATTATTTATAATGTTTTTTTAATAGGTAAATTAGTTTATTTTTCAAAAAAAATACATCTTCAAGTTATTGAACTTAATTTTTATTGATTACTTTCTTTTTATCTCTATTTCTTTCATTTAAAATTTTTGTAATGTTCTAAAGTTAACGGATAACTAGTGGAAGGTTAAAATTGGAAGATTTGGAAATTTTAGTGTGTACATTGCAATATTTTCATCACTCTTTATTATCAGAATTACTAATCAACGATGATTAAAACACAATCCAAACTCAAATTGACAAGGTAAAGGTTACAATCATACACACCAACTAGTTATTAGTCTAGGGGTACTTCTCTTCTCAATATTGGAAAATATTCAAAGTTCAAATTTCACGTCCTCTTTGAAAAAGTTTCCCACCCGTAAAAGTACAAGACACATAAAACATGTAACATAAGCTAAACAAGCTTATTATAGCAGAAGCTAGTACGAGCTACATGGATTTGGGGGATTCTCGGAATTTTTAAAAACACAATCTAAGCCAGGATGAATGCCAGATATATAAGAGAGAAAGCATTACCAAAAACAAACCTACTTAGCATTTCAGAGCTCATGTGTTCAAAATTATTAGACATGATGAGTAGCCTAACTGGTACACAAAAACAACAGAATCCATAATATTTTTTGAATAAGAATTTCTTTTTTAGAGCGTGCAACTAACTACTAACTTTCATCAACACAAACTGGATTGACCAACAAGAAGTTACTGTAATATACAAGTACTACTAAAAAACTGTAGTTCGAGTTCGAGGGTTTAAAACTCTGTAAATTTTATATGCATCTCACGGCAAGTTCCTGCTGTTTCACTTCACAGCAGATGCCTGTTCTCCAAATCGACAAAGTACTGATGATCTAATGCCAGCTCGACAGTGATCCTTTCGCTGGGGTCGTACACGAGCATGCTTTGTAGTAAGTCGAGGCCCAGATAGGGGAGACAATACTTTTTTTCCCCACTATTTTTTCATGCTTTTTACTTTTAAAAAAAAATTGGTGTATTGTGTGAGACTTTTGAGTGTGTGATATACATACCAAATCACATAACAAATCACACCCTCCTATGCATGATTCTCATATATGCAATCATACTTTTTTTCCCCACTATTTTTTCATGCTTTTTACTTTTAAAAAAAAATTGGTGTATTGTGTGAGACTTTTGAGTGTGTGATATACATACCAAATCACATAACAAATCACACCCTCCTATGCATGATTCTCATATATGCAATCATACTTTTTTTCCCCACTATTTTTTCATGCTTTTTACTTTTAAAAAAAAATTGGTGTATTGTGTGAGACTTTTGAGTGTGTGATATACATACCAAATCACATAACAAATCACACCCTCCTATGCATGATTCTCATATATGCAATCATACTTTTTTTCCCCACTATTTTTTCATGCTTTTTACTTTTAAAAAAAAATTGGTGTATTGTGTGAGACTTTTGAGTGTGTGATATACATACCAAATCACATAACAAATCACACCCTCCTATGCATGATTCTCATATATGCAATCATACTTTTTTTTCCCACTATTTTTTCATGCTTTTTACTTTAAAAAAAAATTGACGATAAAGGGCCCACATCACAACATACTCCCCCTTTTCCCTCCTTTCCCTCTTCCTTTTTTTTTTAAAAAAAAATCCTTTCTTTCCTCCCTCCCATGACCCCTCTTTCTCCTCTTTTGCCCACTATTTTTGTATTTTTTCGACTTTACATTAAAAAAAAACTTTTCATAATAGCTCTTCTTTCCTTGTAGACAAGCTTATTTGGAGCAAAATTATATTTTTGATACTTTAAAAATAAAAAAATAAAAAATATCCTGCTCATTATAGACATTTCCTCGCAAGGAGTTGCAGCCCTCCACAACTCTGCCAGTGTGCCCACAAGTTGCTTGATCTAATGCCAAAGAGGTTTTTTTTTATATTTTTTTTATTTCTAATGTGTAGCTGCTGTCCATACAGTGCACATGGCTAAATTATTTTATTTTATTTTATTCTAATTCCCTGTCCCAAAACGTTTGAGACCAGGACAAAACAAAAAAAGAAAGAAGAAGCCTTACCCACAATCTGGAAGAAACGTTGATAACGTGCAAGGTGTTTTTTTCAATCCACAGTTTTGGTCCAAGCTTTGACAAAAACTAGGAGTAGTCATGGGGTTGGGCTAGGAGTTTTCAGTATGTTTCTTTATTTTGTATTTCTGGTGCTATCTATTTTGCATTAGGTGTTGGTGGTTTTGGATGTAGCTTCTAGCCTCAGCTTATGCTTTTGAATTTCTATTGTTGGTTTCTCAGTTGTGTTGTGTTGTGTTGTGTTTCTTTAACGTATTCATTCTGGCCATGTGTGGCTATGTTGGGAGTTACATTGTTGATGTTGGTGTACTCTCCCTGGACTAACCTTTGATGGTTACTGTGCCTCCATCTTTGTATTAACCCTAAAAATTGGGTATATTCCTTCAGGTTATGTATATAGGTGAATTATGATGGGTGATAGAGTTCAAGCTTGTATAGAAGTATAAGTAAAATCATGTAATTGCAATTTATTAAAATCATAAGTAAAATCCTAAGTGAATTAAAATCATAAGTAAAATCATGTAATTGCAATCTATTAAAATCATGAGTAAAATCATATAATTACAAATCCGGTTGAAATCCATTACATTAAAATCATGTAATTACAATCTATTAAAATCTCAATTGAATACACCCCTTAGTTTCTTGGTGCGAGCAGAGTTTGGACAGGAGAGCAGAGAGTTTCCGTTATATTTGTTGTATAAAGGGTACAAGCAAGCAAGGAGCTTCATTGAACAGAAAAAAAAAAAAAAAAAAAAAAAAAAAAAAGGAGCTCTGTTAGTGAAAGTAACGGGTATTGAGAGTAACTGGACAGTGTGGGCCTTGGGGCTTGGACAGTGTGGGCCTCTTCGTCTCTCTATGGCAACCCATTGATCCCGTTGCCTTCCACACACCACCGCCATTTCGATCCCTTCGAGCGAGCTTCGACCTCCAAACTCCAATGCACCGCCGGCTCCGAAGACCCGATTCATAGGATCCGACCCCATCTAAATCCCAGCTGCAAACAAGGACCCCGATTCCTCGCCTGTGTCTCCAGACAAGGAAGTAAGTTCAGTTCATTCATCTTATTGCCTCTGTCTCCAGAGTCAGAAGAAGAAACATATTTTACCTTTTTACGTTATAATCTTCAGTTGATTTGCATATTTATAGTAGGGTGGTTCGGAGGTTTTGGGCTTTGCCTAAAATCTACTGGTTTCTATTGTAATTTTATAGCGATTCATGTTGGATGTACATTTTCTGTTTGTTGCTGTTGAAACTTTTCGGGTTCAGCATAAAGCTTTTTTTGGGTTAACCAATGGAGTAAAGGAAAAAAGAAAGAACAGAAACTGATTAAGTTCTTTTGCCTTTTCGATGTTTAATAACTCTGACTCTCCAGGAGCACTGTTTTCTTCTTCTTTTGGGGAAATTGGTGATTGATTAATTTGATACATCCGTAAATCCTCTTCTTCTGTGTGCTATACCATCGAAAGCTATTTCTCATATATCTTGTCCTTGTGCTGATTCTTTTCTGCAGCTCAGCTGCTTTGAGCTGCAATTAAAGGGATGATGAGGTACCAACCACCACCACAGCTGTTGTATTTTCAATGAGTAATTCGTAGTCCCTGTCTCGAAGAACCAGGTTGTTAAAAGGTGACAATTTGGTATTCAAGGAGATGGATCATATAGGACAGGTTCTATTGATGGAGAGGGTAAGATTAAAAAATTATCTGTAACAGCTTGAAGCGGCTACTATCTTTATTGGTGCATTCTGGGTTTTCAGTCAACCCTACATTTGATTTATTTATCACATTATCCTCATTTGAAAATTATATTACATGGTAATTTGTGGATTTCTTTTTGTTCATACTCTTCTCTAGAATCAACGGATGTTCCGAATGTCTCAAATTCTTACTTGACAGTTTTTCTCTAGCTGACTTATTTTATGTAGTTAAAATTTCTTTCTCAATACCCTCCTGGAAGCGGGTATATTGAGTAGGACAATAGTATTTGTCTTCAGATGTGGTGAAGATTCCCCACAAGGTTAATTTGTTGGAAATAAAACTTTTTATTGGCTACTTAATACTTGTTTAAACTAGTGTTTGGAAAGAAGTTAAAAAGAGGGTTACTATGGACGGTTTCTCAATCCTAACAAGCGGCCAGTTCTTTTTGTGTGTAGGCTTTTCATGATAGCCTTCGCAACATTCTTTTCCATATGTTCGATTGAAGGTCTAAATCTAATATGCATGAATTCTGTTTATAATTAGAAGATTGAATTTGTAATATTATTATATTTTGCTTTTCATTTTGTAAACTTATATTAAATATTTCTGAATGTTTTGTTCAGTTCGTCTTTTGATGGCCCTGATGAGGAGAAGGGCACTCTGGAACTAAATGACGAAGCTACACCTCAGATGGGCATAGGGTCAACGGTGATCTGATTTTGGGAAGCATTATCGTTCGTTCTTATGGGTCCAGCTGCATACCGGCCCAGAGCACATGCTGCTGCCTCTTATACTCCATCAATTGAGAAGGTCGACCTGTCTTACAGGGACTGCTGGCAATAGATTATGCAGCAAAAGAGGCAAGTTTTAGCTTTTTTTGAGAGAATTCTTGTACTTTATAGTGTCTCTCTACTCCACTTTAGACGATTTTTTTTAAACATCATGCTGAAGTTATTTTACATTTATGGATGAATAATCATCTCCTTTGAAATCATTTACCCTAGGTGCTTGGCTGGTGACTTTGTGAAGTATGTGCAAACTTTCCTTGAGTGAACCTATGAAAAATGCAGGAGCCCATACATTGGAGGCAAGGATGTTTCCCTTTTCACTTTCCTACTGACTTGCCGCAGCAATATTATTTTTAGATATGTTATTCTCTGCATCTTTTGTTGGTCGAATTCTCTGCTTCTTTTCCATTGATTATTTTGTGCTTGCTTGTTGTTTTTCTTTATGTTAATGTTTAGAGTATTTAATGTTCTTCTGGATTGGTTGTTTCAGCTGTTGTAGTTGTAGACAAGTGTTATCTCTTCCTTTTCTAAGGGAGGAGATGTGGAGTTTGACGGACAAACACTACAGTCTACGTTGACATTGTTTTATATAATATATAGTTGCGGTACACTAAGACAAATATAAATATCAACAATGTTAGTGTGATTTTCACATTGTTATTTATAAGTTCTTGATTTCTGAATGAGATTGGTAAGTATCTAGTTTTAAATGTTGATTAGTCCTGAGAGAGAAACCGCTCCCCAACTTCTGTTTTCTCCATCTCTCCGCCGCATCGCATCCTCTTCCCCTACCCATCGCTTTCCCTGTCCAACCCTCTCTCTCTCCTTGTCCGCTCCCTTCCTCTCTGTATGTTTTGCGTTTTCCAAAATTTCCTCTATTTTAACAACCACCATTTCTATAGATTGTTTTGTTGGGTTTCATCTTTTTTGGCGAAACTGGTGGGGGAAATTTCTACAGGAAGTGGTGTGGTTCTTGCACAGAAGCATGATCGATTAGAGCAGTTATTACCAGTTTTATTGTGCAAGGTTACAATTTGTTGGGTGGCAGTTGCCTAGTAAAGGAGTGAAAAATCTTTTTGAATGAACTTTTGATTGTTGTTTTGTTTCTGATGACTGCCCTTAATGGGTTTATTATCGTTCTTGTTTGGATTTGTTTTGTTGGAAGAGACAATTGCTCCATCTCGTTGTGCTGCTACGCAGTTTTTGGTCTGTCACAGTTTAACGTATTGAATGATGATGATGGTCTTTTCCTTTTAAATAGTATAGCCTCGACTGTACTTTTAGTATTTATTTTTAAATAGTATAGCCGACCGGCTATTCTCGATTATTTTTTACTATACTTTTTCAAAAAGTTTTTTGACAGTTAGGGGGGCGCCCTTTTTGTACATGTATAAATAGTATAACTGTGCGGCTATACTCTGTTTTTTATTAAATAGTATTAGCCGCTCGGCTATACTCGATTTTAATTTTTGTTAAAAATAGTATCGCCGCGCGGCTGTACTTATTTTGACACGTGGACCCCTAATCGCAAGAGGGTCCTCTTTTTTTATATATAAATAGTATAGGTGCCCGGATATACGGGATTTTTTATATTTTTTTAAATATTATAGCCGCGCGGCTATACTGATTTTGACACGTGGATACCTAAATGCTAGTGGTCCTTTTTTATGTGTAAATAGTATAGCCGCCCGGCTATACTCGGTTTTTTGTTTTTTAAAATAGTATAGCCGCGCGGCTCTAAGTGATTTTCTTAATTTTGTAAAAAAGAGTATAGCCGCCCGGCTATACTCGGTTTTTTGTTTTTTAAAATAGTATAGCCGCGCGGCTCTAAGTGATTTTCTTAATTTTGTAAAAAAGAGTATAGCCGCCCGGCTGTACGTTTTTTGACCCGAATTGCAAGGGGGGTCTTTTTTTCACATGTATAAATTGGCTATACCAGGTCTTGTCTAGTTTTGTTTTTAAAATAGTATAGCCAATCGGCTATACGCGATTTTTTCCTAATTTTATTGTTTCATTCGATTTTTGCTATTCTTCAGGCAGTTCTGGAGAAGAGAGCTACAAACATAAACTGATTTTGGGGGCATGGGTTCCTTCCCATCCTTGATATTGATTGTATCCTCAATTATTATGTTTCATAGAATATCGATGGTTTTTCTATTCAACCTAATACGTCCTTCATCATCATATATTTTCTATTGATGTGCGTGTGATTAATACCAAGGTTGCAAGTTTGTTTTTGTTAATGTTCTTAGAGACACACGATATCAGATTTCAAGTTCTTTTATCGATCTTTCTCAGTCAAGGTGTGAGTAGCATGGTAATCACTAAATAATTGTTCAAGTCATCTCATGGTTCAAAGAATTAAAGTATCCTAAAATTTTAGGTAAGCTACTAAATCCAACTTTTTAAACTCGAAAACAAAATTTGAGTCCAAAACAAAGAAAACCTGTTTGGTAGCCCTATTTTTAAAAACTCAAACTCAAGAACAATTAAAAAAACATCCCAATTATTAAAAACAAAAAATATATGTTTTTTCAGTTTTTTTCTAATAACCCACAAGTTCTCAAATTTTTAAGATTTGAAAACAGTTTTCAAGTTGCATACCAAACAAGTTTTTGAATCTTAAAAATAGATTTATGAACTCCTTGTTTTTAAGAAAAATCAAAGTTTTTGAGTTCCCTATTTGAATAGGATATCAAACGCCACCTGAGTTTTCTAGGGTTTTTTCATCTTCCGGAGGTGGAGCTGGGGTTTAACGTTTTGACTTTTTCTGGCTATTTTTCCTTTTCTTTTTCTTGTTATGAAACAATATTGACCACATGTGTTGATAAATAAGTTGATGCCCGTAGCGTTAGTCTAATAGAAGCACTAAAAGAGACACAACCCATATGCACGAGCAGTATGCATCAAATTTTATTGCACGAGAAACCTATAAAATCAAAGAAAGGGGATTAAGTGAATACGATTTTGTACTGGGCGATTCTCCAACCCCATAATGAGTTCAAACTCTTCTCAAACCATAAACTCAAAACTACGCTAAATTTTATAAAGGAAAAAAAAATTCAGTTTTGCTGCCTGATTGATATCATCATATTCATACACTTCATATTCATACACTAAATAATTGTCCAAGTCATCTCGTGTGCCTGATTATGTTTAGTTGCAAGTCTTTAATTTTTTTGCTGAAGAAAATTTGAGAATTTAAATAATTTTTGGGCCGTTTGTTTGGGTAGGAGTGAATTTGAATTTGGGCTCCTAACTCCAAATCCATTTGTTTGGGTCTGTATTAATAGCCCAGATTTGAATTTGGGCCAAACTCCAGAGCCCAAATTTAAGGACGGGCCCACCATCCAATCAATGAGATTGATGTTATGGGTCGTTCTCTAGCAAGTATCTTTAAGTGAGGACCTAATATGAGAACACCGTTGGATATATCCAACGGCTTCCTGAAAAAGCAATTGTAATTGAAACAATTGCACTGGAACTTGCGCGTGTTCTCTCCTCCCTCCCTCCAAAACATCTGTCTCTTTCTTGAAGACCACAGTATATGTTTTTTTTTTCTTTCTGGATATTCTCTTTCAAGAAGACCACAATATCTCCTCTTCCTTGTCCTCCCTCCCTGTTATTCGTTTTTTTTGTCATTTCATTTTTCTGGTTTGGTTATTCAGACCATACAAAACAAGCTATTATCTTGAAGAGCACATTTAATCCTATAATTCGTTTTTCTCTTTTCATATTTCTGGTTTGGTAATTATGGTGTGAGCATTCGTCAAGCCTTGAGGACCCATCCGGTGACCGCAAAACTGTTGAGCGCAACGCATCTTGTTCTATACTCGTGGTGTTGACATCCTTGAGCACGCTCGAAAGTGGCCTTGAGTTCGATTACTTGAGGATTTGAGACTACAAAGCGAGCACTCGCCTCTGGTTCTATACTCTTGGTTTTAAAATCTTTGATCAAATGTGAAACTGGCATTGAGTTCGAATCCTTGAGGAGAGGAAGGTCGAAAACTTTTGGCGTTGGCGTCGAGGTCTAAATCTAAAACCTCCAACTCCATTTCTCACACCAATGCAACATCAAATGGCAGACATTTACACAAAGGGAATTTTTGAAATGTTTGAGCGCGAGGATTTCCAAAGCCTTTTATGCTTCTTAGAACTTGTAAAGGAAGATGATACTCACTGCAGGTACAAAGTAAATGAGAGGGTAGAGCCGGGAGTTACACGTATAAAGGAGCTTGTGCATGATAAAGATGCTGATCAAGCTTACTGCAGTTGCCAAGGATTCGAATTTCGTGGTATTCCATGCCGACACATCATATCATTTTTAAGAATGAAGCAGGTTCAATATTTGCCAGAGAAGTACATATTGAAAAGATGGATGAAAAGTGCGAAGTCCGGTGTAGTTTTTGAGAATGATGGCAAAGAAGTTAAAGATTGCGTTGATGGTTGTATTTTGGTTAAGAGATCGACCATGTGCAAAGTTGCAGCCAATTTGATTGATTCTGCGTTGTTGTCCGCTGAAGGTTCTGAGCTGCTCCAAAAAACATTTGATGGAATTCGTGGTAAGCTGATTAGGTTGGCATCTTCAGGAGCTCATGTTGAAGAATCCAATGAAGAAGGGGGAACTAGTTCACCCCAAGTAAGAATCAAAGATCCACACCAAGTAAAATCAAAAGGTTGTTCAAAAAGAGTTAAAGGACGGCATGAGAAGGAAGCAGAACGACGTAAACGTCGGTGCACTGTGTTTATGAAGATTGATCATGATAGATGGAGATGTCCAAGACTTGCAAGCCCGTAAGCAAATATATCGTATATTATAGTTGAAGATGTACGCCTTTAACAAGTTTTCGATATTGTTTTATGGTTTTTTTGGCTTTCTTGCAGCTCTTCATCTTCTGATGTAGACGTTTCTGCTCCAATTCCTGAGAATATGCAGCATACTCAAGAGCACACAGAATGATGAAGGTGCTCAACCAAGTATGATAGAGTCATTTATGAAAGAGTTTGATTTAATGCACGGACCAAGTGTTTGAGTAGTTGTTGTTACCTATTTGCGCCATTTCGGAATGTTTTGGGAATCATTTGTGACACCTAAGCAATTGGTTCATGTATGATATTTGTTGAAAGTTAAACCAAGCCAAAGGAATCCAAAGCTACTTTATCCATTTTTGTAAAAGCATGACAGCATGCTATTGGGTGGTATACTTTGTTCATTGGCTCAAGGAGATACTTTTGTATTACTATAGGAGACATGCTTTCCGTAGAGTGCTCTCTTGTCTATAGGATGTTTTATTGTTTCTGCTGAAATGTCTCTCTCTAAAAGAGGCGTGGCCTCTACTTGTATTTTGGGGCTGTTGCTGTTTTAACTATTGAACGAAGCTTTTAGCTTCAGTCTTCTTCCTTCTATTTTTCCTCTGTGTCTGTGTAAGAATATTTTGCTGCTTGAGCATTGAGAATCTGCATGCTTGCTGTGTTGTTTGGCTTGTTTGTCTATGAATTTGCTGGTGTTGGTTTCTAGTTCTCTACAATATTGAAGGGTTCCTTACTCTAAAATCGACATAAACATAAGTTGATGCCATAGTGAATCAAAGTGAAAACAAAAACCAGTCTTTGTGAAATAATAATAATATTTATGAAGCTTTAATGAATAGTAAATCATGCGACGTTGAAGCTCTAGTGAATGCTTTTGAAACATTTACGAAACATATTTTGGCAACACACAAATGATGTTGTAGCATTGGGATTCCGACTTGAGTCATTTCTCTAATATACAAAAAAATTACAAGTTCCTTGCAACGACTTGAGGTGTCAACCAGTGCTTGTAAATGCAAGCCATAAAAAAAAAGGGCTTGGATACCTTTTAGGATGCTTATCAATGCTATCAATAATATATCAAGAACCTGTCAATAATTTGTCAATAACCGGTGCATAAATTGTCAATAATCTCTCAATTCTTTTTTCAATTGAGTAAATGTTCACTAGGATGTTGCGGCTCTTGAATATAAAAACAAGAATTAACCACCCAAGCTAAGAATTTGAAATGAAACCCAATTATTGGACAACAAACTTCAACAATATGAACATGAGAGTTCAATCAAAGACCCAAAACAAGAATATCAAAATGAACCCATAGCAAATCCAAGCAGCACTAAACCTTTCCTCTTCCTGAAAAAAAAACTTCAAGCGATCATTCAACATAGAATTGTTGTTAGTATAGAAACAAACTTGACTTTGAGAAAAAGAGCAGAAAATACATACAAAAGTTTCTACAGACTTCTTGTAACACTTTCTACATCTAAGACTTCTTAGTCAACAAATATTATAATATTTATGAAGCTTTAGTGAAAAGTAAATCATGCAATGTTGAAGCTCTAGTGAATCCTTTTGAAGCATTTACGAAACATATTTTGGTGATAGTTACAATAAATTTCAACTTTGAATGGAATATCCTGATAGAAGACATAATGATTCCCAGACATAATGATTCTCTAGATGCCACTAGTTAACATATAATAGTCAACTAAAGTTGCTAACATTCTTTCCTCCAAATCAGGCTTGAAAACATCCGCCCACAATTTGAATATTCTATTACTAGCTAGAGCATCCAATGTAACTTTCTATATTTGCTGTGTCTACATATCCCATGCGGATGCATCATTGTAAATCAACAAGTTCCATAACAACTATTCATTATAATATCAAGTTCTGTCATATCCTCCAGGCCAACTTCGAATGGAATTTCCAACCTTTACTACCATGTCGTATACTTATTTACAAGCAAAAAGAATTAGTTACAAAGCAAGCTTTCTGATTCTACCAAAGAGAAGGAAATTGCATTGAAAAGGAAAAACTTCAAACTTTTAAGGCAAGGAAATATGCTGAAAGAGTTGTGAGCATTGAAACAGATGATGTAACATAAACATTGGTCATCTCTGCCAAACCAAAAGGCAAGCTAAAAACCTATGTACCTGACCATCATACCATCCAGCATCTTCATCTGCAAACAGAAAGAAGAGCAGAAAATTAATGGCATGTATATGATAACCATTACTTTGTTCTAACAAATTAACAATTACCCTTTGTCCCAAACGAGAACTTATAGTTGCAATAATGCAAATTAGTCCTTATACCTGAGGCATCATGGTTGTCTTGTGATGCGTTATTTATCTTTGATAGCTCACAAAGGCAAGTCGTAAAAGATTTTCCTTATGTGTTATTGAGATCTCTTAATTCATCATGGAGATATGTGAATGTACAATAAGGAATCTCTACCTTTGATAAGAAAAGGAGAATGTTTCAAGATATGATTCAGTGAATCTTTGGCCGAAGTACTTGAACATGATTTAGAAAGTGGTTTTTTAATTGTGTTCTATTGAATCATATGAGTTTAATCATATTAGGGGTTTGACATTATCAATCCGTACCCTAATAATATGATTGGAAACATTGTATAAGAGAAGGATCGTATTGCATTGCAATTCCAACTGAATAGGTTCTTCATCTATTCTAATTAGCTTGGGTAGCCATGATATATTGCTAGATGTCACTCTTGGCTTGTGGAAGTCCTAGGATTGATTGTGATCGATCCAAATAAAGGAAGAATTAAAAGGGGGTTTTAATTCCAGTTGGTTAGAAAGAGTTCTAATGTATTCCCACTGCCTTGCTAAATTAGAACCTAATGGATCGCACACCTTAAATGGTTAACTTTGAGTAATACAAATGAGAATGAGGAAATCAATTTGATTGATTTGATGTGGATGATTTACTACGTGTAAAAATGTATTTGGGCCTCGGTAATAGTTAATGAGAAGCCCAAATGATTGGGTATCAAGCCCATGGACTTAAGACACCTAAATTATGGCTTAAGTGTCATAAGGCCCAATTTTGGAAGCCCAATGGGGTTTGGCCGAAAATGCTTAAGTAAAGGTGTATGGGAATTGTTTCCATAAGCTCATTTACACACAAACACAATCCAACATCAACCAAATAGGTTTGGGAGATCAAAGAGAGACAATTGTGAGTTTTCAAGAGTGAAACACAATCATCTTTCAAAGGGGTTTAGATTGAAACCAATCTTGAGGATCTTGCACTAGCATCCTTGTATTCTCAAGATACTTCTTCTCATCTCAAGGTTCCATTGGTGTGGAGACTTAGAGGCCATATACTTTTGTGGCTCACAAGGAGGAGAAAGATCAAGAGGAGATCAACAAAGGGAAATCATCAAGAGAAGACCAAAACACAACTTGGTTCATATAATTGCTTCAAGGGTAATTATATCTTATCCTTTCTCTTGAATTTTCATTTATGAAAAACATATCAATGTTCATGGCTTAAGATACTTGGAAGAAGTTTTGTTTTGAATTTAAACAACCACCTTATTCTTCCGCTGCAATTAATTTGATTAATTTGTATGTTTAATGTTCAAATCAACTTCTTAAAAATGTTTTAAAACCAACAAGAGAGACAAAGCTGATGAGATGGAGTGATGAGATTGCTGGCTAATCTTCTAGTGAAGGATGAAGAGAGGCCGAAAGAGATAGAACAAGAGAGAGCTAAAGTGAGAGAGAGGCAGATGGAGAGTGGGTGTGGGAGTTTTAGGGTTTGGTTCTGAAAGAGGAAAAGGGAGTGTTGTTTCGATTTGGGGCTGAGAGAGAAGCGCGAAACTTTTGTTAAGACGAGAGCGCGAGATGGTTCTACTAGAGGGAATAAAGCACGAAATTAGAATTTCCGTGAAAAAGAAGCGCGGGGAAAACATTGGGAGAAATCACTATCTATGATATCTTTTTTTAATTTCTCAAAATCAATATCTATGATGCACATTTATGACATATATATATAAATCTTTATACAAAAACAAACTATACTATGTGAAATTGATATCTATATATAAAGTAATGTTATATTTTCATGTTGTGACATATTATATGACCTTATATAACACAAACTAACTCTTTGTTGTTGAATCTCCACTGTTAAAACAGAGCCAAACTTTGAAACCCTTTGTTAATAAAAAGACATATAACACTTTTAATGACTTTTAATGTGTTTAAAAGTCTGAAGGTATTCAATTGTGACTTTTAAATAGTCTTTAAAAGTTTAGTTATATTCAATTGGGAGTTTTAAAGAGTATTTAAAAGTTTTGAGGTATCCAAAATGTTAATGACTTTTAAAACTATAATTGTACTTTGTGTTGTAAAACTAGGAAATTTGTAGGGAGAAATAAGAGGAAGAAAGAGACAGTATAATTTGCTCAAATCAACTTGTTATTCATTCATATTTGGTGCCACTATTTATAGGGGTAGAGAGACCTGAATCACCTACCACCCATAATTGATAGGTTACAAATACATTGGTAGGTTACACATATATAATGATGGATATTATTGTGGGTATCCATAACCTATAAACCCATAATGTGTGAAAATGCCATAATGAAAATGCAATGCTATTTATGTCAAGTTGTGGTATAGTGATTAACTTGTGTTTTTGTCTGTACATCAATTAATTTGAGTTTTTGTTGTCACTTTGAATATTTATAACTCAAAATAAGATTCCATAAAAAAAAAAACTCAAAATAAGATTGTTTGAAGCTTTATGTTGAAGAGAATTTCACAAAGAGTTCGTATGAATTTTCGGCATATTTTTAGGAATTTGTAATGTATTTATTATGAATTTTAGAATTTAAATCATAGATAAAATGTATTAAATTGAAGAGATGGACAATATGACAACTGTCGTGGGGGTGTCTGTACATCAATTAATTTGAGTTTTTGTTGTCACTTTGAATATTTATAACTCAAAATAAGATTCCATAAAAAAAAAAACTCAAAATAAGATTGTTTGAAGCTTTATGTTGAAGAGAATTTCACAAAGAGTTCGTATGAATTTTCGGCATATTTTTAGGAATTTGTAATGTATTTATTATGAATTTTAGAATTTAAATCATAGAAAAAATGTATTAAATTGAAGAGATGGACAATATGACAACTGTTGTGGGGGGCGCCCACTGCATTACTTCAACTCTTTAAGCTTTAAAATATAATTTTGACATATAAAAAATTCAAAGAATTTGTCAAAGTCCAAGTTTGCTTCTATACTAACAATAATTTGTCACAGTAAATCAAGCGATGTTGAATCTCTAGTGAATCCTTTTGAAGCGTTTACAAAACATATTTGAAGTTTATCTGAAAAAATTCATAAAAATACTAACGAGAGTTGGAGAGAAGAGACAGGCAGCAAGCGTTTGTGTGTCCACATGTCTAGCAAGTAATGGGATTGTAAAGAACATTCCTCTATTGAGGAATTTAGGTACTAAATAATTACTTGGGATGGGTATGTTTTTATGCTATCAACAAATAATAACTTGGGATGGGTACTAAATAATATTATTTTTGTGCCGTCTTCAAAAACCAAGTTAATGCTAATACTATATGTGGTTAAACCAAAGCAACAAGAGGACAAAAAACCACCAAGAGGACCAAACTAGTGAAACAGCAAGGACAAGAAAATAAACCAAAGCAACAAGAAGATATGTTGAAATCAACCATGTCGTCTTGAGTCTCACGATTAAAGGATAAAGAAACTGAAACCAAGGACAAAGAAACCGAAACCAACCCCAAACCCACCACTGGGATACATGGGGAATCACTTTCAATATTCTANNNCTCTGTGTTCAGACTGAATTGCTAATATATTCACATCACCATAATCAAAACAAAACAGTGTTGCATGTGTGTTCACACGATTGGTAATACCTCTCAAGTTCAAAACTGAGGCAGTTAAACATTCAGCCATAATCATATATCTATATATTGTAGCATTGATGTAAACACATTGTGATACAAAACCACATTACAATAAACACATTATGATACTCATATAGATATGTGTTTATTGTATCATAATGTGATGTAACTCTCGGCAAATAGCCACAAGACACCAATTAAAGCACTCAAGCACTCATTCCATCTTTGGCTCTGATTTGACCAGAAAATTCCTAGCTTCATCATCCCTAACTTCACTGCATTGGGAACATATAGGAACAAAAATTCAAATAAATGACTGCTGAAAGAAATGAGAAAGATACAAAAACTGTAATTGACTTGAAAACAAGCACTTCAATAACCGGAAAGAGCATAAGAGCACGAAACCTGTCTATAGCTTCTGTCTTTGAAATCAAGGTGAGCTCTTTGGATGCAAGAAATTCACAGAAACTGCTGAGGGCTTTCTCCTGGCAGAATATACATAGAGTGCGCAGAAAATCATTGAACTTTTTCGATTCCTGCAGAGGACAAATTTTCTGAGGTTAATATGCAATTGTCAGGTAAGCCACAGCTGTCAAAGCACACCAGTACAACTAAACTAAAATGACACTAAGTACGATATCCACCTCATTATGAAGCTTTAGTGAATAGTAAATCAAGCGATGTTGAAGCTCTATTGAATCGTTTAGGAAACATACTTTGAGTTTATCTAAAAAAATTCATAAAAATACTAATGAAGACTTCTCAGTCAAAAAATAAAAATAATATTTGCGAAGCTTTAGTGAATAGCAAATCAAGTGATGTTGAAGCCCTAGTGAATCATTTTGATGCGTTTATGAGAAACACATTTAAGCAAGACAAAAAAAAAGGGTGAAGTTTATGAACTCAAAACACATAATCAACTGTTAAATCTTTGTGAGCACATGCATCAAAGGCAGCTGAACTAAATGGAATGTTTGAAATTGGATAACTTGCCTGCATAAAAAAGATAAAGCAAAGAAAAGTACAACATATTAATCAAACTTCCAAATAAGTATAACAACATGAAAGACAAGAGTAACAATAAAGACATACAAATTTAGCAATGCAGAATATGCAGAACAAAGCTACGATCCATGGTCTTATTTAGGCACTATTTAAAACTAAAGTATGAACTCCTGATATCCATCAGATGCTTGGAGAAAGACTTGCAAGAGAAACGTCCTGAAGGTTCCAATCTCCAACTCCTGATATCCCTTCTATTTGGACTCAAAACAATAGCTTCCAACCTTGAAGATCATCTATTTAACTTTTCAATTAACAACAAAGTGGTAACCATTTAGGTTGTAACATGAATTATTTCTGTTTTTCCTTTTCAATTTTAGGAATTCTGTACCCGCTTAACAAAGAACCTAATCTGGAGAATACAATTCCTTCACATCTCTGCTTGAAACAAAAGGGAAAAACATATGCCCACAGAGTCGACACAAAATATTCCCAAAGTCGAAATCATGAAATCTTAACAGCAAATAAAAAGGAAACTGGACATTTAATGAAAACAACGGGGAAATAGAAATTTTCTTCACTCACTTCATCGGCTCGAAGACCAAACAACAGGCAATACTGTCACTCTTCAATGATTCCACAAACTATAACATTAAAGGAAATAAATCAAATAATAATCACAAGTTTCCTCAGTTCATACTAGAAATCATTTCTCTAGGAAACCCAATATAATTTTTTTATTTTCTTTACAAATAAACCAAATATGACGTTGCCTTGCCTTTGGAGCTAGTAACCAGGAGAGGTAAGACCCAGAAAGAGCAGTTTCTTGAACTTTTGGGTTTCAGAGAAACATCAATTTTAAAAAATTCAACCCCAAGCAGAATCATAATGCCTACCCACCAACAAATTAAACCAGAAAATTAAGCAATTGAAGCCAATTTATATTTTTGCAAACACAACTAGTACGGAGAAAGAGTAATCTTACCTACACAGAGAGGGAGGAGGAGCCCATATGTGTAAACCCAGAAAATCAAAGCCCTAAAATCCTAAACAGAAATTAAACATTAAGGAATGCAATAGAAAATGCAAAACATAATATCAAAGTTTGAAAATATAGACTCTCAAATAGATCTCGATTTTTGAATTGTGATATGGAGAGAGAGAGAGAGAGAGAGAGAGAGAGAGAGAGAGGACGACGGTGAGGGAGATTGAGGCAGAGAAACTGAGAGAGCAAGACAGAGATGGAGAGAGAGAGAGAGAGGAGGAGGGAAACAGAGGGGGCAGGGAAAGAGAGAGGGAGTTCCAGAGAAAGGTATCGATTCTGACCAAAGAAACTAGGAGATGGTACTAAGAGGAGAATATGTTTGAGATGAACAAGAGGGAGTCTGAAAAAAATGAAATCAATAAAAAAACAAAAGGCGGGACTGGAAAAGGCGCGCCAGGGCATGTGGGGCTAAGGGGAACTGCAGCGTACCCAATTCTATTGTAAGCTTGTTTCTTTCTCTCTAGCCGTTCAGATCAGATCGGTGGCTGAGATTAATTCCTCACATAAAGTTCTCACTTAGTGGTATCAATAGAGCCCAGCGCTTGATGTTATTATTGGTCGGGTTGGATTCAATCCCAAAACATAACCCAAATTCTCTCTCTTAAAAAGAGAAACAAGTTTCCAACAGACATGTTTTTCATGTCAATGCTTATTCATACTTTACATCGGAGATACCTTTTTTGTTATAAATTTTAATCAACAAATAGAAAGTAATTATGGAGCACAAAATTATACTTAGGCCATCTCCAGCAGTTGATGGCTAAACATAGCCCACCCATAAAATTTAACCCACAATTTATAGTTTTTTTTAAAAATAAAAAAATAGTGTTGGATTATAGTTTTACCGTCTCCATTAATCATAGCTCTCTTAATATTTTATTAATTTTTAGTATATTCTTTAAATATATTGGTTACTTCAATTAAAATACTACTTAGACCCTAATATTTTCAGACAGCATTTGTGACATCCACATGTCATGTCAGCATGTGAAAGGAAGGATGAAAAGAATGTAGGAAATTTGATAGTATGTAAAAGGAAGGATGAAAAGGAAAGATAAAAGGAATGTGAACAACCCCAAACCTTCATAGGTTAAAATGTCGTTAGCCCTTGAATATAATTACCCATTTGATGGATTTTATTTTAATTTTTCAAAAATAAATGAGAGGATAACATTGATAAATTATTATTACCAATCCCTTGCGTGTGCCGATTGGTTTTATTTTTTATATTTTATATTTTAGAATTAAAAAAGATAATGGGTCGTTGTGTTCCATAAAAATAGGACTCGTTATCTTATTTAATTTTAAAAATTTTAATATAAAAAAGTGTGAATTATTATATTATCCTCATTTAATTAATAATTTCAGTTATAAACATAAATAACTATTGTAAATTCTTTGAAGAAGTTCAACTTGTCTTTTTTGACAACAAAAAAGAAAAAGAAAAAAGAAGTTGAACGTGTCTTTTTTTGGCCTTATTCTCCCGCGTGAAATATGTGATGAGATTTGAGTTGACCCAAAAAAGGAATATAAAAAAATCCTTCATATGTGCTGAGAATATGTGGATTTTATTATTAATTCTTGGCATGCATTTCTCATGCTCTCCGGCTATAAAAATCCATTTGCATTATAACTATATTACTGTGCTTGATTTGGGCAATCATTTTTGGAACAATTTGTTTATTAAACCTAACAAAAATGGTTTCACTGTTTTTGTTTTCTAAAACTATTTCTAATTAAGCTATTAGACGCATCCTCAAATTTTGAAAATACAAATTGGTTTTCTGCTTTTTTTTAGTACAAGCGATATTAAGAAAACTGGATTTTCACTAAACTGGATTCCGTTGGCAATGGAGCAAATTCTTGACCAATAAGTTTCATATTAATAAGGCGAAGGCCGCTAACAGGCCAAGTAATGCTCTGGGAGCTTCAGTTTTCTACTCAAAACAAAGAGGGCACCCATATATTACAAAAGAAAGGAAACGACAACATCCAAACAAAACAGGCAATAATTACGACAACAAACCAAAACAAACAGTTCCGGGCCAACCCACCCACTAATCTTCTTATTAAGGAGTTAAGACACTCCAACTGTCCATGGCAACTTTGCACCATTTTGGTTGAAGGGTACGAGTTACCCTTGGGCCTTCATATCTATGAGTCTGCTCCTGTCTCCCTCTCAAGCTTGTTGCTGGATGATGATCTAGGAAGGGCCCAAAGTAGGGCTGTGCCTTGTTAGCTTTTTTCTTTTCTGGCTTCGGCCTGCCTTGTAACCAAAAAAAAAAAAGAAGACATGTCTCTGAAGATGCTGGATAAAAAGATAAAATGCAAAAAAAAAAAAAAAAGGACTAGTTAGTTTGCATGAATATAAAAAATTAGAAAAACCAAATTAATCATGCATGTTGATTAAGTCAATAAAATAATAATAAACAATGAGAGAGAGAAAGAGAGATTACTTACCGTTGATCTTTAGTAATTAAGCACCCTTCAATTGCCGCTTCAACAAAGCTATCCTCACAAAAAGCCAATCATTTAAACCATTCAAGAATTTCAAGTATGCGTATCTCCATGACCTTGAAAATATCAAGGTGCCGCAAACTCCCCAAAATCCGGCAGCAAATCCAAGCCCCATACTAATGTAGAATCCCAGTGTTATTAGCTCATCCTTGTCCCCTTGGTTGATGAAGTCAGTTTGCCCACTTGGACCTTTTTCCACTTCATCAACACACATCTTTTTAAGTGGAGGTCCACAGAGTTGAAGATTCCCAGCATAAAAAGAGGGATCAAAGCCTTGGAGCTGAGTCCCGACTGGAATTTTGCCAAACAAGTTGTTATATGACAAGTCCAAGAAACCAAGACGATCTATCCTAGCAAGGCTTGTTGGAATTCTTCCATCTATATGGTTTTGTGACAAATCAAGAGAATCCAATGATTGCAAGTTTCCAATCTCTGGAGTTATTTGACCTGTTAATTGGTTTCTCGATAGGTTTAAAGACACCAATCCAACAAGATGAGTGATTTCACTTGGAATATCCCCTGTTAATTTATTGCTTGACATATCAATTCTCTTCACGAGCCCCAAAGTACTTTTGTATGTCTGCATTCCTCCTTTCCACATGAAGGTTGCATCATCATCATAATCATCTCCCCAATTAATATTAGAAATTATATAAGAATGTGAGATGTTCAGACTTGGATTTCCTTTCTGAGCCAGAGTAGTTAAATTGGTGAGGCATTTGGGTATGCTTCCAGAGATGATGTTCATGGAGAAATCCAAAATTTGAATGTGTGTTAGATGGCATAATTGTGAGGGCAGGCTTCCATTGAAGTGATTAGACGAAAGCATTAGGATAACCAATTTCTTTAAGCTAACCCCTAACCATTCAGGTATTGGTCCGGATAATTTATTATCCCCAACATCAATGACTACTAAACTTGTGCAATTCTTCAACGACGAAGGCAATTGTCCCACAAATCTATTGCTTCTTAATTTGAGTGTTTCAATCCGAAACATAGAGCCTATTGTTGTAGGAATTTTCCCGGACAAAGCATTGTTACTCAAATCAAGCATGACTAGACTCTCCAAATGTGTCAAGCAATCTGGAACTTGTCCAGAAACATTGTTGTTTGAGAGGTCAAGAAAGCCTAAATTAATAGCTGCACTTGAACACAAGAACGAAATTGACCCTGAAAGTTTATTATAAGAGAGATCCAGATGTTTGGTTGTTGATAGAAATGAGGGGATTGGACCTTCCAACTTGTTTGAACTCAATAGTAGGGTAGGGAAATCTGAAAATTCCAATGTCAAATTTGCAAATGTACCTCTAATTTGGTTGCTTGTGAGATTCATAAATGTCACATTGCGACATAAACTCCAAAACCAACTTGGAAAGCTGTCAGAAATTCCAGCATCAGAAATATCAAGGTGTGAGAATTCTTTTTGAGTTTGAAGCCACTTTGGGAAATCCGGACCCATCTTGCAAGACCTCAAATGTATTGACCCCAATTGGAAAGGAGGAATCCAATCAGCATGGATGTCTAAAACTAGCTTGTTAGAAGATAAACCCAAATACCGTAATTTGGAGAGTTTTGAGAAATGAGTTTTTGAAATCACTCCTTCCAAAGAATTCATGCTAAAATCAATATATACGAGCTTAGACATTAGCCCTATACTTTCAGGTATTCCTTCCAAAGAATTCATTCTAAAATCAATATATTCAAGCTTAGACATTAGCCCTATACTTTCAGGTATTCCTCCGCTTAATTGATTGTAACTAATAGTTAAGCTTTCCAAAGATGAAAGGTTTGTAAGATCAGGTAATGACCCAGCAAGTTGGTTATTACCGAGATCCAACATCTCCAATGAGTTTTGAGCACATGTAGATAATAATATTTGAACAAACTTAGAAAGTTGTCCACTCAGATTATTGCTTGAGAGACCCAAATATTGCAAACTACATAACCTGGCAAAAGAATGCGGGACCCCTCCTTCAAATTGGTTAGATTGGAGATCAAGATGTGTCAGAGAGCTCATGTTTCCAAGAACATCAGGAATTGAACCGACTAGTTGGTTAGCAGAGAGGTCAAGATAGACAAGGCTGGCATTATAGTTGGACAACCATAGAAATATTGAAGAAGTACTCAAATCGTTGCCAGAAAGGTCAGCGCTAGCAAGAGATTGAGAAAAGTTTATGTAAGAAAGAGTGGAAAGAATTGGAGGAGGAAGATCACAGTAGCGTAGTGTCAAGTTTGTTAGTTCAGGAAGCTTATTAACGGCTTCTAGCCAATCGAAAGCATTGCTGAGATTCACGGAACTCAAGTCCAAATATCTTAATGACAAAAGAGGAGGAAGCCAGTTGAGATTTTCTACATTTGTAAAGGAATTAACACTCAAGTCCAGATACACCAAGTTCGTAAGATTTCCGACCTGACTTGGAAACTTGCCTCCAAAATTTGTCCAAGACAGATCGAGGTATCTTAAATTGGTTAGAGAACCAATGAAATTTGGAAATTGGCTCCCATTGAAATTAATCGCAGTAAGGTCCAAATGTTGTAAATGCTGCAACTCAAACAGTTTAGGACTAATCATCGTACCTTGTAAATTATCGAATACAACTTCGAATGAAAGATCAAGTCCAATAACATGACCTGTTTGGTAGCTGCAATAGACTCCTATCCATCTGCAACAATCTTGTTTCTGGGCTTCTGAACCCCACGAAGAGAGGCTATTGTCCTCATCCACCAGGCCATGTTTGAATGCAAGGAGTGCTTGCCTTTCCTTCTCTATGCACCTCCTGGGCACGTTAGTATCCCTCTGACTGTGGTCCACCTCTCCTCCTTGGGCGTACTGTAGCAAAAGCAGCGCAAATGCAAGAAAGAGTTTCAAGCACCTTCCGTGACCCTGCATGTTAAAAGATTGAAATGCAAGATCAACAGGAACCAATTGTTTAGGGTTTAATTATTGATATATGGTTATCTCCGAGCTTGTATCACAATATATAGGGGAAATCTTTACGAGCTTGAATAGCATGCATAAAACTCCAAACGACATACAGGGCCTAGGGACATAATTATTGACTTAGACTTTTCTTTTTCTTTTTTCTTATTTGTTGGGTCTGAGCCACAACAAATAATGAAGCCACATATTTATACAAGATAAACACACAAAACAGGATCTGCGTCTGCTAGTAATTGAATGAACCATGGAATTATTAATTTGGAACAAAGAATATACCTATTGAATTATAGTCTTTGCATAAAGTTAATTAATTAGGTAGTCTTTCCATATGTATTTCAATGAATTGGGGAAATTACTGGATGATAAGACTTGTGGAAATTTGGTATTGGTTGGTAGAATGAATGCGTGTGTGTGGCTCCACGTAAGACTTTAACTTCACAGACTTGAGAATCCTGAGTTCCAACCAAAAATTATTGTAGGTATTGACTTGACTTGAGATGGTTTCATACAACTCCTGTGGGTCATGTTTGTAATTTGCCTCCCATGATCAAATCCAAGGCACAAGCTATAATTAATTAGAGATTTTCGATTTAAACCCCACTTCTCTTAGTTCACCCCATGTTCTAAGTTCACCCCATCTTTTAATTTAAATTTTCACAATTTCTAAGAAAACCCCACTATCTTCCCAAACTACCCTTAAATACACCTCAAACTGAAAAAATAAAAAATAAAAGGGATTTTCTATTTAAACCCCACAATTTTCTTTGTTCCCAGCAAAAAAAACACAAACAAATAGAATCCTAAACCTGAAATTTAATACTTTCTAGAGAAAGAGAACAACTTTACCTCTCTCCAAGAATTGTAACTGGAATTCCAACACTTGGGTATTGTTGAGTTGATAATCAACAAGCCTTTCCATCAACTCCCACACATATTTAAAGAGGTAGGCTCATCAATTTTCTATGTCTTTAAAAGAGAAGAGTAATCTGGCAATAGGATGTAGAGGAGTTTGTATATAAGAAAGTATAAATCTTTCACGAATTATGCATAAATCATTGTACTCGTTTGAGTTTCGGTCTACACAAATAAATTATCTCAATCCCTATGATTAGATAAATTATCCAAATTGATTGAAACTTGGTTTCCAGTCCATTTATTATTATTTTTTTAGAAAATACTTGCCTCTTTCTCTCGGAAATAGGAACTTCTACAGTCCTACTAATCACAGTTTGACATGTGTGCTGAGATTCTTTTATTTTTATTTTTATGTTTTTGATGAATTATTTTTACATATGTGTCAAACTTTGATTTGTAGAAATATCTCCTTCTCGGTAAGTAGCGAAGCAGTGTGCCTGTTTTTTAAATTATTTTAATTATTTTAATTATTTTTTATACTTGTATTTTCGGTTCACACACATCCAAATTCAAACAACACAAAGAGATTATCTCAATCAATTCCAATAATTGGTTCGTGCTCGGCTGGGTTTGGATCTATTGTTTGTATCTTGATTTATGATTCCTCCTCAAATCAATATGGTTTCTTCATGAAAGGTTACTCCAAATAATTCTCTCCTTGATAGGATATCTAAAGGTCATCAAAATCAAAACCCCTATATTTCAATATCATTTCTATTTTATATTGGAGAGAAGCTTTGAAGGTGCGGCAAATGGAACCCAACTTTTATTTTTATGTTTTATTTTTTATGCATTGGAGCAAATTCTTGACAAATAAATTTCAAATTATTAGATAGTACCTACTAGAATGCTTGCCAATTCTTAACAAACAAGTTTGCTATTTTTCTCCCCACGCAACTATTGACTTACATTTTTAATAACTCGAACTGACTTTTAAGTATTGACTTGGCTTTGCTTCACTAAGATGATCAGGATAGAGATGTGGTGGAAAAATCCAACCAATCCCGTTGCCATCCTCAATTAACTTGACTCAGTAATTGAATGGATCTTGGAATTATTTAATCTGGCAGTTGGCCACCATATTAATTTACTTAGTTTAGCATAAAGATAGAATCCTAGCTAGCTTATTCATGGTTTCTTGTTGGTATTAATAATAAATGTGGTTGCCATTGGTTGTGCTTAGTTAGGCTTTAGTTCGCACGTCTCTGTCTGATTATAATGTATACATGGATATAAAAATATTTTATTACTTTGATAAGAAAATGTTTAAGATAGTTTGACAGGATTTGCATAAGGCTAGCAAAACTATGAGAATGAGAATGGAGAAGAGAAAAGAAAGAAATTTAATTGCTTTCGGCAAATGTAATGATTCGTCCTCTCAGTTTCAGTCCACAAAACTCTGATTTAAAGCTAAAATCAATATGGTTTCTTCATGGAAGTTACTCCAAATAATTCTCTCCTTGATAGGAAATCTCAAGGTCAACAAAATCAAACCATTGTAAATCTCTGAAATTTGGTATGAATTGATGATATGATATGATCAGCTACTAGAATTGGATTATGCTTACCTAAAATGTTAATTAATTAGTTTACTAATCTATAATGTTATTTGCTTTGCACTTTTGCACTGATTGATGTTCGATTGTCTGTCTGTCTTAGCCTAGCTTCTGCTCAGCTACTAGAATTGGATTCCGCTTTCCTCAGGTACAGGTAATTAATTATATATGTATATATATATATACTATTCTGAGCAAATGATCCTAACTAAATTCATTTTAGTTGAAATTACAGTGAGAAAATACCACGTTATGGAGCGATAATATTTTGATCTTACTAATATTTCCCCCGTACCGTGGTTGACAAAAGAGTAAAATTGTAGAATTATGGCTAATCAAGAAGTTAATAGAGTCTTGCAGGCCCGTGTGAATGGGTGCATCAAAATAACAAATTAGGTCATGCCATTAGCAAATTGAAAATGGGTAAGTCCATGGCCCAATCTCACTAATGGGACCTTAAAATGACCCGCACTGTTAAAATAGACGATAGACTATGGTCTATATAGTGGTAGAGTAGGTAGGTATTTTGAAGAAAAGAAAAGATACATCAATGAAAATACAACCTACGATCGCACAAACAAGACTCCTAGTTTGCCAATAAATATGGGGGCTATCAGCTCCTATCTCTCTCCATGTTTTTAAAAAAGTTGAGAGTGATCAATATGTCTCCTATGCTTTTTAATTTTCAGACTCACAATAGATTAACAAAGTATTCACGCATATGTATGATCGATTGAGTTTGTCTATATGAGGAAACACGGAAGGAGCAAGGGTACGGGGATGATGCAATGCCACACATTTTGCTTTGGGATTTATGTACTTAGGGACGTGGAGGCCCCGTATACAAGAACCTCATCCAGAGGTGACATTGTTGGCTGGCCTCTCCGACACATTGATTAAGTCCTTCTTGGACAATGGTGAGGAAATTTGCCCGCGCCATCTCATGGAAGCAGCCATTTCTGACAAAGAGTATCAAAATCTTTGTGTGGTCGACTGAACTTAAAGCGAGATCAGTGAATAAGATATTCGACCAGATGATTCATCATCTCGTAGGTAGAATAATCTTAATTAGTTAGTTCAGTAAGATTTAGTTTAATTTGGTTTGCACTTTCAATTTGGTTGCACCTGTTTTCAATTTTTATTTTTATTTTTGTCTTTTTTCTTGTTTCTATGTTACAAATTCATTAGTTCTGAATTCATAATTGAGACTGTTGCTCTCAGCAAAATCTATGTCTGAGGCGTTGCTCTATGTGGTGGTAACTATGCTTCGAAGATCGACTAGAAATTTTAGTTTTAAAACGATTGTCTTCCTACTTACAAAAAGAATGAATTATATTTGTCACATAAAAGCTTAAGACAATGTTGCATGCAAATTAAACGAGCACAGAGAATTAATTCCTTGACATCTGTTTTCTTTTCTTGCAAGCCTTCTCTTGATACTTGTCTTCTTTTATTTCAATCAATTAATTTTGATTGCAATCTACTCTTAATGGCCACCAAATCTCTCTCTGGCATGCAATCAATTTTATTTAATTATTTTTCTTTTTTGTGTGTGAAAATTTAACGCCAAACACAGAGAGAGTGTTGAATTTGAACCAGAGCAATTAAGAGATGAAGAAACAAGTGCCTTTGCAAGTATGTTCAACTTTCACCAGTCTTCTCAAAGTATTGGCTCCTCCTACTCCTGCACTTCAAACTTCAACAGCTCGAAGATTAATGGCTTCCAACTCCAACGCTGACATGGCCATGGCCAAGAACATCTCCTCCATCTCCTTCTCTTCCTACGGTGATCCCTGCCATGATCTGTATTTCCATGTGACGTCGCCAGACTGGTGCAGCACGGATTGGCTTTTCCACGTGACACCACCAGAGCCAACCTATGAAGAAACCATGCAAAAGCTGCAGAAGAAGCAGGCCTCCATTAACTATCTGAAGCAATTGCTGCCTGTGGCCTGGTCCCACAATCCCCTAGCCACCCTCAAACTCATCTTCAATCTTGTAAAATTGTAATCAACTGAAGAATATTTGATTGCTCGATAAAATCTCTTTACAGTATCAAAGGTATCTATACACAAGTTTCCTAGACTAATAAAGGAAAGTAAATCAATTACATATAATTTGGCTAATCAATCCCTAATGTATTGGGATTTAGTTGACTTCTCAACACTCCCCCTCAAGTTGGAGAGTGAATATTGTGAACTCCCAACTTGCACACCATAGCCGAAAAATCTTCTTTTCCCAAGGCCTTTGTAAACACGTCTGCTACTTGTTGTTGAGATGAGATATATCTTGTAATCACTGTTCCATCCAGAATCTTATCCCTGATAAAATGGCAGTCTATTTCAATATGTCTAGTTCTGTCATGGAACACTGGATTGGCGGATATGTGCAGCGCAGCTTGGTTGTCGCAATGTAAAGTAGTTGGTCCTGGGTCTGGGAGTTGCAGGTCTTGCAGTAGATAACGCAGCCAAGTAATTT